AGCCAGTGGAGTGGGTTCTGGCTCCGCTTTTATTCCCCTGGTTTGCTGCAGTTCACAGCATTCTACTCCTGTCTGCCAATTCAGTTCTGAAGTTAAAGTTGTTCGTTAGCAAGCCAAGGGCAGAGTGAGACCTGAGAGAGAGGTCTTGAAGGTAGGTGACCTTCAAGGTGACCATTGTAACTGCAAGCCTCTCAAGGCTATTCCAGGGCCCGAAAACACCTCTGAGGCAGAGCTTTGGCATTTTTGGAGGAGAAGGGAGTCCAGGGGTGGGCAGCAAGCCGCTGTTCAGATTCTTCTGGGGCTTGACCCAGCCGAGGCTCGGGTGTGTGTGGACAAGGGCTGCTCTCTCCCTTTGCCTTGTTAGACAGACTCTCCAGACCTGAACTGAACTGGCTGAGGTTGTAAAAACTGCTTCACTGTCTGAGACTTCATTAAGGCTATAAATCTTCAGGCCCTTAAAAATATTAGGTGTGTGATTAATACTACTGTTGTTCTTAGTTAGAATGCTTATGTGTATTTAAAATCCTTTGGAAAAAAAGTCCTTTGGAGCCTTTTTACAACTGGGCCATCAATGATCAATTATCTACAGTTGTTTATGAAAGGCCCACCCTGGGCCCAACACAGAGCTGGATGCTCTGTGGAGCATAAAAGAATCATGTGAGATGAACTTTGCCCTCAAGGAGTTCCCCCACTGAAAGCAATTGGAGAACAATTTGCTTCCAGACCAGAAGTGTCTTAAGGGGGCTTTTCTTTCTGATGGTGGTAGTTACTTTCACACAAGTCACCCCTCTGAGATGGCTGGGGTTACCTCTGGGGAACATTCTCTGGTACCCAAAATGGATTGAATGGCCATTTGGGAGGAGAGAGGTGGTGGCAATGACGTAATCTCATCTTTCATTACTTCACTTGTCTCCCTTTGACATTGCTTTTCTAAGCACCTGTACCCTTTAGGAGAAGGTAGCCACCTACCCACAAACTAGGCACCCCAGTGCCTATCGTTCCAACATTATAGCTGCATTCCTCTGAGTCTTAAGACGTTTGCATTTCCACTTAGTGTCCCCATTTAAAATATTTACACCTGGAACTTCCTTGGTGGCGCAGTGGTTAAGAATCCACCTGCCAATGCAGGGGACACGGGTTCGAGCCCTGGCCCGGGAAGATCCCACATCCTGTGGAGCAACTAAGCCTGTGCACCACAACTACTGAGCCTGCGCTCTAGAGCCCACGAGCCACAAATACTGATCCCGAGTGCCACAACTACTGAAGGCCGTGTGCCTAGAGCCTGTGCTCTGCAACAAGAGAAGCCACCGCAATGAGAAGCCTGCGCAGCGCAACGAAGAGCAGGCCCCTTCTTGCCTCAACTAGAGAAAGCCCGCGCGCAGCAACGAAGACCCAGTGCAGCAATCAATCAATCAATTAATCAATAAAATTTATTTTCAAAAACTGTATAAAGAATTTAAAAAACTGTATAAAGAATAAAAAAAATATTTACACCCCTTGAGAGGTCAGTCTTTTAGCAGTTCATCACTAAACTGTAACTTTAATTACCAGGAATTAATTAAGTTAATGGAGAGAAAGAGTGGGACCCAGGCAGGCACTTGGGGCAAGAGTGTCCGAAGGGACATGTTCCTGCATGACAGGAGAGAAGTGAGGGGAGCAGAAGAAACTTTCATGAAAATTAGTTGCTGTAGGCCGGTACTGCTAACACTGGGGCCACCCCAGTGGTCCTGATGGCCAGGGTCTAGGGTACAGCATGGCCTAGCACTGGTACAGGGGGCTTTGAGTGGAGGTGGAATTTGGGCTCAGTCTTAAAGGATTAGGAAGATTGTTTTTCCTTCATTTAAAAAATATGGTATGGCTACAAGGGGGTAAGGGAGTGGGGGAGGAGGGATAAACTGGGAGACTGAGATTGACATATACACACTATTATATATAAAATAGATAACTAATAAGAACCTACTGTATAGCACAGAGAACTCTACTCAGTACTCTGTAATGGCCTATATGGGAAAAGAATGTAAAAAAGAATGGATATACGTATATGTATAACTCATTCACTTTGCTGTACACCTGAAACTAATGCAACATTGTAAATCAACTATATTCCAATAAAAATTAAAAAAAAATTGGGGCATTCCCTGGCAGTCCAGTGGTTAGGACTCGAAGCTTCCACTGCCGGGGCCCAGGTTCGATCCCTGGTCGGGGACCTAAGATCCCATAAGCTGTGTGCTGCAGCCTTAAAAAAAAAAAAAAAAAAGAAAAATATATCTTCAGTTTAGAAAATTTTGGAACATCCAAGAAGAAAATAAGTCCCTCATAATTTTACTACCTGATGATAGACGGCAGAGAGGAGTAATCCTTTTACAGTGAAAGTCAGAGCATGTCGCTCCTTTACCCCAGGTCCTCCTATAGCCTTCAATCTAAGAGTGAAAGTCAGTCCTCACAGTGGCCCTCCATTATTTGCTTCCCACCCCCATCTCCTGTGACTGCCTCTGCTCTGGTTTGGGTTCCTTGAATGCATCAAGCATTTCCCTGCTTCAGGGCTTCTCTACTTGCTCTTCCCTCTGCCTAAAACCTCTTCTCCCCTGTATTCACGTGGCTTGCACTCTCACTTGCTTCAGAATTGAGAATGTAGTCGTTCCATTTTATGATTTCCTTACTGAACTCCTATTGAGAAAGGCTATATGACTACCTGACATATCATGAATTTGCTTGTTTGTGTCCATTTGTCTCCTAGTGGAATGTCAGCCCTGCATGGGGAGGGACTTAGTCTGTTTGTTCACTGTGGTATCCATAGTGACTAGGATAAGGCCTGGCACCTAGGAGGTGCTCAACTAATATTATCAGTTGAATGAATGAGCATGCATGTATGTGTGTAGTGTGTGTTTGTGTTGTGGAAGTCGAGTGGGAAAGGACAGTGTGGCTAGAAGCTGTTGTGGGGGGATGGGTATGGATGGTGTGGAGAGTGAGGATGCTTTGGGCAGGAATGGAGGTTGGAGATGTGGTCCAGTCTGTTCCAGGCTCTAGGGTCTCATCTCTTACTGGTGCTGTTGAAGGTGAAGGCAGTGATTTGGTGCTTTGAGGTGGGTGAAGAAGCAGCTCCTGAAATTTAAAGTCTAGGCCTAGAGGACAGGTTCTCAAAAGTCTGGCCCGAGGGTTGGAGCTGATGTGATCGGCTACCGGAAATTATTGTAAGTTTTTGAGCAGAGTGAATGACCCGTGAAAATGGTGATGGGGAAGATTGGTCTTAGACATATAGGATGACTGTGGGAAGAGACCAGAGGTGGCGAGGAAAGCGGTAACAAGGACAAGGATGGAGACATGGAGCAGAACAGATGACGTCTGTGAGACTTAGTAATGGCAGAATTCTCCCCAGCTGCTGTGTGGCCTTGATAAAAGCTTCTAGTGCTCCCAACTTGGTAGAGCTTAAAGTACTGTCCATGCTTTCAAATGAGTTTTGGAAGCAGGTGGGGAAAGCAGGCACAAGGGAAAGAGGACGGGTCCTCTCCAGGTTCATTAGGTTGATGGATCTGGTGGGAAGCGGGCCGTCATATCCTGCACTGGGCCTGCATCTCACCGACTGTAACCCTGGATGGGAGCCTGTCCTTTCTGGTCCGCTGGAAACTTTCCTGTCTGAGAGTAGCTGTAAGTGCTCTCAGGTTTTCTTCTGAACCTACACATATACCAGGACAGTATGTGAAATCTATTTGTTCGATTACCTTCTTTCAACTCCATTTTCTGTCTCCATAGTTTTATCTGTTCCTCGGAACAAATTGTCTTTGACTGACAAACCCATTTGGATTGGATTAATTGACGGGAAGTACTTATTTCTAAATGGTTTCTGTTTCATTAGGCCTCTAGCCTGTTTTTAAAAAGGCTTCTGCCAAGATGAGATCAGTGGAGAAGTGATTTCGGTATAATCAGCTTCTTTGATCTTTTGGTACAAGTTATGTTTTGAGATTGGTGTTCCTGATGTATTAATTCCTAGAATAAATATTTCAGTGCCTGCTCTGTGCCAGGCACTATAGGCACTGGGACTATAACCGGGAACAAAATAAACAAAAATCTTACTTTCATGGAGCTTGTAATCCAGTGTGTGAGGTCTTATAGATAATAAACAAGTAAAACATAAAGTATGAGAGATGGTGAAAAGTATTACAGAGAAAAACAGCAAAGCTGGGATGGAAGATAGAGAGGTTTGGTGGGGAGGCAGATTTTCTGCTTTAAGTAAGGAAGCCTCACTGAACAGAGTTCTGAAGGAGTAAGAGAGGGAGCCATGCATTTATCTGAGGGAAGAGCAGTCAGGGTGGAGAGAAAAACTGGAGTGAGGAGGAGGAAGGTATAGGAGAGGAGGCCAAGGTGGTCCCACTGGGCTTGTAAATCCTAGTGGGGGCCTGAACCGAAGCTCTGAGTGAGATGGGAAGCCCCAGGTGGCTGTGTAGAACCACGATGGACTCCAGCTCTGTTTTTGAAAGGTTTGCCACAGCTGCTGGTGATTGAAGCAGTGGGGCTTCTGCAGGGGCTCTTAGCTTAGAGTGGGCACCAGAGTCTGAATCATCTGGGAACCTTTCCCAGGCCAGCTACTGGGGCCATCCAGGACTCCAGGGTCAGCCGGAGCACAGGTGTGACTTCTGAGACTCACTCAGTGCCACTGCTGTAATTCTCTAACCACTGGGTGACTGTCACAGCTTCAGATTCTTGAGACGCACTTTCTTTCTTCTTTTTTTAAAAATTTATTTATTTTTGCTGCGTTGGGTCTTCATTGCTGCGCATGAGCTTTCTCTAGTTGCGGCGAGCAGGGGCTACTCTTCGTTGCGGCACGTGTGCTCATTGCCATGGCTTCTCGTTGCAGAGCACGGGCTCTAGGCACGCGGGCTTCAGTAGTTGTGGCACGAGGGCTCAGTAGTTGTGGCTTGCGGGCTTAGTTGCTCTGCGGCATGCGGGCTTTTCCCGGACCCAGGGCTCAAATCCGTGTCCCCTGCATTGGCAGGCGGATTCTTAACCACTGCGCCACCAGGGAAGTCCCGAGACCCACTTTATTTCTATTGAGTCAGTCTGCAGGTGGACTTAGAAGTCTGCATCATTAACAAGATTTGGGGGTGATTTTTGAGGCCAGTGATCCCTGGACTATACTTTGGTCTAAAGACTGTGGTTCCCAGCCCCAGACAACATCAGTCCTCTAGGTGGTTTTCTAAAAAATGCTCAGCCCCACCCCTGAAGATTCTGATTTAATTGGCCTGAGGTGGGGTTAGGTATTAGCACTGCTCCCCATGTGTTTCTAATGTGCTTCCAGGGCTAGAATCACTAGTCTGCGGGTTAATAAGCCTTATACTGGGTGTTTGATGGAGAGATTTGAATGGGTAACTGTGAGTAGGAGACTTCAGGCCCTCTGGGAAGCTAAGGCAGGGCCAGTCATGTTGCCAGGAATAACAGGAATCTTTCACAGTAATAAAAACTCTCCAGTTTATGTACTTTATCTCATTTGATTACCTCACCTCTCTGGGCCTTCATTTCCTTGCTTGTAGAGTTAGCAGCTTAAATTTAATGGTTTCCTAGAATCTCTTGGGCTCTTAATCTTTCTGGTGTTGGAAGAACCTCTAATCCAGAACAGTGTTCTAGTACGTTGTTTCCTAATCTCAGTCTTACAACACCCTAAGGTGTGTCATAATTGTGGCAAGGGCTGTAGTGAATGTCTCAATACCAGTTGAAGGAAAATGTGTGCCATATGCAGTAGCACCTTGGGAAGATGAGGATGTTGGGAAACTGAAATGTGAAGTCAGACCTCCTGGTTCAGAATTCCTGAGTGGAAGGGCAGTCTGGTTGTTGGAGGCAAGCAGGAGCCTCAGTATTAGTCTTGGTTCTGGCGAGTTCCCTGTGAAGTGGCAATAGTGTTATATAAACTGTAAAGTTCCTATAAATCCACATGTGTTTATGTGGCCTGAGAGAAGCAGCCAGCCTGGGCCAATGGAGCCTGATTCTCAGGTTTGCCAGCCCCTCTCTGCAGCCAAACTGTTATTGGGCACCAGAGATGGTCTGAATAACCCTAAAGAATCCAGTGTCTGCAGGAACTGAGGTTACCCTGGAATAAATAATCAGGCACACTCATTGGAGCACCTCAGAACTAACTTATTTTGGACATCAGATCTAAGACACTCCCTACCCCATCCCCTGGTTTCTGACTTTATCCTCATCTGGACAGCACAGGGTCTGCTTGTTAGTTTATGTTTTGAAATGTGAAGATCCAAATAAGAAAAGGAAAAAAGTTTTCTGTATTTCCCTTCTATAGAATTGGAATAATGAGTTTCCTTCCATTCCCTTGTAAGTTTTTCCATTAATATTGTCTATATCTCTATTTAGAATCCAAATAAATGCTGGTCTGTCAAAGTTAAGACAAATGAAGTCAAGCGAGGGAACGCAGAATTACAGTGAGTGAGCGGAATTAGAAAAGAGACTCTTTATTCTGTCATTTGTGGGTACATGCACCTGATGGACTGTTAACTAGTTTCTCCACACGGGCCTCTAAAATTGGAATCTTGGGAGGTTATGGCCAAGCATTAGTAGTTTCCAAAGTTCCCAAGGTGATTCTGATGTCCAGTTACAATTGAGGACCACTTAGATTAAAAAAAAAAAAAAAAAAAAGGGTCTGCCAGCTTTCCCCATGTCTTCTCTTATTCTCATCCCCTGCTTGGTGCTTGTCCCTTCCCTGCCTCTCCCCCACCTGTGACTTTCCCCCAGCCTACCTGCCCCTTGGTCCCCTTGCTCACTCCTTGATCCTCTGCTTCTTCAGCCCTCCTGAGCACTGGAGGATGAGCTGTGAGGAGGGGTAACCGACCTTCACTTGCCCTGTCTCTGTCCCCTGTGCATGCATCCAATCAGCCTGACGTTTAGGGATTCAGTGGTCTGCAGGGGCACTCTGAAAAATTATGAGGTAAAGCTTGCTGGCCACTGAGGTTGGTGGCAGAATACTTAACAAACATGTGTATTTGCTATGTTTAAGGCAGTGTTGTAAGAGCTTTACAAATATTAACTCATTTAACCCCTATAACCCCCATTTTACTTATGGGGAAACTGAGACACAGAGGTGGAGGAACCTGGCCAAGGTCACATGGCTAGTAAGTAGTAGAACTGGGATTTGAACCCACGTAAAGTCTGGGCTCTGAACCAGCACACTATGCTAGGTGAAAGGGAGAAGATCTGGGACTGGGGATAGTACTATCTTTGACTACATTTGAGGCCCGCTTTGAATTAGGTTTGGAGATTCTTCTCAGGATCTGACCTACACTTTATTATTATTAACTTACTTTAATTACATTTGCCTTCAGACTTATTAAAAAACATTTTATTTTTCTTCTTTCCTTAGGTGGTGTTTGGAAACTAGACCATGTGCCTATAGGTAGAAGTTATTCCTTTCTCCACAGCTGTACACTCCCAGCAATATTCACCACACCCTTGTTTTGAGAACCTCACTGAGGTATGATGTCTAGGCTGACCTGAGCTGGCCTTGAAGAGCTGAGAGTTTGGACACAGTGGTTTTTTTTTTTTTTTCAATGTTCCTTGGTAGTTATCATTATTTTTAAAAATTGTGGTAAAACATACATAAGAAAATTGACCATTTTAACCATATTTTAAGGGTATCCAAGAATTTTTTATTAGTGTTTTTGTTATTATTTTTATTGAAGTATAGTTGATTTACACCATTTTAACTATTTTCAAATGTACTGTTCAGTGGCATTAAGGACATTCACATAACCATCACCACCATCCATCTCTAGAACCTTTTCATCATCCCAAACTGAAACTCTTCACCCATTATATAACAACCCCTTTTCCTTTCTCCCCTTTATCCCCTGGTAACCACTGTTCTACTTTTTGTCTCTATGAAATTGACTGCTCTAGGTACCTCATTATCAGTGGAATCAGACGATATTTGTCCTTTTGTATATGGCTTATTTCATTTAGCATAATGCCTTTAAGGTTCATCTATGTTTTAGCATGTATCAGAACTTCATTCCTTTTTAAAGGCTGAATAATATTCCCTTTTATATTTATGTCACATTTTGTTTATCCATTCATCCATTGATGAATACTTGGGTTGTTTTCACCTTTTGGATATTGTGAATAATGTTGCTATGAACATAGATGTACAAATACCTCTTTGAGACCCCTTTCAATTCTTTTGGGTATATACCTAGAAGTGGAAGTGTTATATCCACTATGTGTAATTTTTCTTAGGAACTGCCATGCTGTTTTCCATAGTGGCTACAGTACATTCCCACCAGCGATTCACAAGGATTCCAGTTTCTCCACCACATTCTCACCAACACTTGCTATTTTCTGTTTTGTTTGATAATAGCCATCCTAATGGGTGTGATCTTGGTGGTTAGCTAGTTGCACCCATAGAGTCCACTATCCAAGAGTCTGGTTCCTAGTGTGCTGAAATGTGCATATGTAGAGAAAAATAACATGATAAACTCCCATGTACTCCTCATGCAGATCCAACAGTTATCATTTCATGGCCAATCTTGTCTCATTTATACATGCCCTCCCTGCTCTCTTCCTCCTGCCCTGTGTTATTTTGAGGCAGATCCCAGATATCACATCATTTTATCTGTGAACATGTCACAGATAGTATCTTAAAAAGATATTCCATTTTTTCTGATGGTGGAAGGGCACATAGGGATGTCCTTTGAACACGTTATTTTCTGTCATTCCCTTGGATCACCAGGGACATATGCAGTGGGCACACATTGCAGATACCTGGATGTTGGGTCCGTTGCCATGCTGGGTTCTTGGTGAAAAGCTGCCGTGGCTGGCGCCCTGCTTTCCTGCAGGAGGCTGGCCGCACTTGGGTCTGAGCAGTCATGGTGAAAGAGCGCACCCAGATCTCTTTTGAGAGGGGAAGGAGAGAAGAGAGAGGAAGAAGGGGATAAAGAAGAACATCTGTGAGGGAGACAAGAGGGGGGAAGAGAGAAAGGGACGGAGGAATGAAGAGGGGCATGGAGGAAGGAGTAGGGGGAGAGAGAGGAACAGGAAGGAGAAGTGTGTGTGTGTGTGTGTGTGTGTGTGTGTGTGTGGAGGTGTGGAGGTGTGAGAAAAAGAAAAGGGGAGTGAGAGTAGAGTACCTGGGAGAGGCATCCTTTACCAGGCCCTTGACTCAGCAGCTCCTAAACTCCTTAGTGACCTAAGGGAACTGAAGAGACACCCCAATACTAATAGTACATTTGGCCCCCACCCCAACCTTTTAATTTCGGGATATTTGGGACTGTGGTTTGCCTGTGGTAGATGAGATTGGTGGCACACCCAGAGCCACCAAACACAGGGGTACCAGAGCTGGGGAAGGAGTGATCTGCGGAATGGCCACTTTTTCTTTTCTGGGGCCCTTTTATTTGGGGAGTGGAGGCTTGGTTCCCAGCAGGTCTGAGGCTACTGGCTTCCTACCTAAATTTGGGGATCCCTACTACCAAGAGATGATGCTTTTACAAAGTTCAGTGGGGGGAAACTCCTCAAGGATGGTGTGTGAACAAGAGGAGTCCTGTCTCTCTTTTTTCTGTCTCTGGGTCTTTTTCCCTTTTAACAAAGTGCAGTGTCCCTTAGTGCTGAGCTCTGTTTCAAGTAATGAAAGGAAAAGGGGGTACTGGTTACAAAGTATCAGTTTTTATCTCAGTTCTTAGCTCTGCTTAAACTTTGTTGCCTATGCCTAGTTTCCACTTGTATCATCCCAGTCAGTTGTACAGTCTTTTATAATCCCAATTCCTTTCAGTTCTATCCTCTTTTCTTCCTTTTTATCTTTTCTAAAAATCTAACAGCTTTATTGAGATGTAATTCACGTGCCATACAGTTTACCCATTTAAAGTGCGTAATTCAATGGGTTTTGGTATATTCACAGAGTTGTATCCTCTTGTCTTAAGACTCAAGACCACCTTGTGTTCTCCTCTTCCCTGCGGTTCTCAGAGCTAGCCTTCCCCCTCCACTGGCGTCACACTGATCCAGTCCTCAAGACAGATGACCTTATTGTGGGGACAATGGCCAGTAGGCACTTAACACCAATAAAATATAATATTTAACTTAGTCCTGCAGGGGCCTAGGGTTCATAGACAAGTGTGACTTCAGATAGACCCTTTCCCACTGGCAAGGCCCCATCACCACTCAAGGTCTCTCTATTTATAAAAAGTTTTCAAAAGCTAAATACAAACACTGTAGCAAATTTGCCAGCTGCTTGACTGGTAATAAACTTGCTTAGGAATCTGTGACTATCCTTGAACAATCTTCGTTCTGGACAGATGAGCCTGTCACATCATTCCCCCTTTCTAATGGTGGATTACCGTCTAGTAAACATAGTGGAGCTTACACACAGAAAATAAATAAATGAGCAGTTATATAATATGTCAGATGCTATAAGGGCTGTGAAGAAAAACAAAGCAGACTAAAGGGACAGAGATTGATGGTGAGGGTGGGGATTGGTATCTTATGCACAATGGTCATAGAAGGCTCCTGACAAAGTGGTGTTTGAATAAAGACCTGAAGGAAGTGAGGAGTGGGCCCACAGAGATCTGAGGGGAAGAACATTCCAAGCAGAGGGGATAGTAAGTGCAGAGGCTCTGAGCAGGAGTATGCCCTGCTTGGTTGAGGAGCAGTAAGGAGTCTGGAGCAGACTGGCAACAGAGAGGTGTAGGAGACAGAGGGCGGTTAGATCGTCCTGGCCATGTAGGCTGGGGTGAAGACTGGATTTTACTCTGCGTGAGGTGGGACGGTGTTGAAGGGTTTTAAGGAGAGGAGGAACATGATCTGGTGGATGATTTAAAAGCAGCACTCTGGCTGCTGTGTTGCGAGTGAGTAGTAGAGGCAAAGAGGAGAGACAAGGAGACCAGTCATCAGGCTTTTGTGGGAATCCAGGAGAGAAAAGAAGATGGTTGGAGGTGGTGAGAAATGGTTGGATTTGGTTACATTTTGGAAGTAGAGTTGACGGGATTTGCTTATGGATTGGATTAAGGGTATGAGGGAAAGAGAGGACTCAAAGATGCCAAGGTTTGGCCCAAGCAACTGGAAGGACTGAGTTGTCATTTACTGAAATGAGAAAGAATGTAGGAGGAAATCCAAGAGTTAGATTTTGGACATATTAGATTTGAGATGCCTATCCAAGTAGAAATCCAAGTCTAGAATCGAGGGATACCAATTAATTAATGATTCAGTGAGTGCCTGTCGAGGGGCTTATGAAATAGCAGAAGAGAGAACATTTTACTGGTAAGCTACATTAAAGGTAGTTTAAAGGTACTACATTAAAGGTAGAAAATTATGAGGAGAAATAAGTAAAACAAAAGGGAGCACAAGGGAGGATGAGATGACTTCTGACAAGGGCAGTCAGAGAAAGTCCCTTTCCCTTCCTTGCTTGTAGGAAGCCTGTGTCCCCTTGATGAGCCTTTTTGATGGCCCTCACAGGTATGTGGTTGAGAGGTGTTTTCAGTGGGTTGTGGAGGGGAGGGCACTCAAAAACAGGGTCTGGGCCTTCCCTTTGTGTCCTCAGTGCCTGGCATAAGTCTTGGCATTTGGTAATTATTTGATGGATGAACTTCCCCTTTCTGAGCCTCAGTTCTTCATGTATAAAATGAAGAGGTTGGACTAGACCAGTGCCCTGGAATCAACTGGGAAGCTTTTTAAAAAAATGCAGGGATCCATCCCAGGCCTACTGAATCAGAATTTCCACAGTGGAGCCTGGGATTCTGTGTTTTAAAGTCACTCCCCATGTTATTCTTTTGCAGTCAGTCCAGCAGCAGTCTGCAGACGGGCATTTGGAAGCCACTGGACCAGGTCATTTCTGAGGTCCACTTCAGCTCTAACATCCTGTGAGTCTTGTTAGAATGCTTGCAATGCAATTCTGTTCTTGGGAAATGGAATTTTTGGTTGGGGTGGAAGGGCTTAGACAGGGAGAAGAGAAGCTGCCTCTGGGTGACAGACATCTTGGGCAGGGCAGGCAGGGACAGGTGTATCAGCCAGGGTTTGGAGAGGCTTCAAGGAAAGGTTCTGGGAGGGGTGGGAGCAGTGACAACCCCCATAACATTGGGAACTAGGTGTGTTAGGCCCTGGGCATAGAGGTAAAGGATATGACCCCAATTTTCGGGAGACTCACAGACTGATGAGAAAACTTAGGATCCCAGCCTACTGTGGGAAGTGCTGCCATAGAGGAAGGGAGGAAGGGAAGGGCAGAGGACTCAGAGAAGGCATCCAGGAGGAGGGGCCCTGGAACAGGAGCTTGGGGATGAGGAGTTCTCGGGCAGATTTATGTTTGGGGCCACTCAGGAGGAACAGCTCAAGCTCTGACACCAGTGACTGAAATGTACCCTGGGAAGTGGCTGGAGAGGTGGACACAGACCAGATGGGAATGGCTTCTGCACACTGGAAGAAGAGTTTACTTACTGAAGGTGATGGGGATTTTGAACTGGGACGTCTCTGTGATCAGATAAGTGTTTTACAGCAACCATTCTGGCAAAATATGCATTGGCAGGACTAAGACCAGATAGAGGAAAAGACAAGTGAAACGCTTTGTTGTTTTGCCTGGGTCTGTTGGGGCACCTGTTTTCTTGTATACTGCTGAGAATCTCTTTGGGCTGTTCTTTGCTAATGATTAGAATGCCAGGTGCCTCATGAAATGAAGCATTGACCACTGATTGACTCAGAATGTCTGTGACTTGGGATCACTTAGACCTATAAGAAGGCCTCAGATGTGTATTCAGGAGGGCAGTAGTATGTATGTGGCAGAGAGTCTGCTTGTCTACTTTAGGACTTAAGTTTTATGTAGAAATCCAATAGTTCTAGATTAATTTGCCCAGCTGTTGTAGCCTAGCCTGTTCAAGGTCTCAGAGACCCTTCAGGTTAGTTTAATTTTACATATTAAACCAAGGCCTGCCTAAGATCCTTACATAGGTAATTGGTGACAGCATAGGGGTGAAAGCTAGTTCTCCGTGGTTCACAATTTCTTATTCTTTTAGCTCTACTATTCCCAGTCTGGGGCTTCATTCTGGGTCCAGGAACTCTTTTTTTCTGTTCCCTTTGATCCAGCTAAAGTTTCACTGAGCTCCCTTCTCCACCACCCATAGAAGCAGTGTCTCTTTCTGATCAGTGTTCCAGCCAGAGTCCAGATTGAAGTTCCTGCAAGTCATGGGAGTAGCAGCTTGCTCTTGTGCTTGCTTGCTCATTCTCTCTTTCCCCTTGCCCAGTGTCCATTCCTGGTACAGAAGTTCTCCCACCTGGGAACAAACTCAGGTACTTTCTTAGGGTCTGCTAAATAATCTCTCTCTCTCTCTCTCTCTCTCTCTCTCTCTCTCTCTCTGTGTCTCATACAGTTTGAGTTATTTTTTGCTTTATTATCCCCTGGGATGTTCCTTCTGAAATAGAAAGCTGGGGGAAATTTTATTTATCCATTTTTATTTATTTATTTATTTTTATAAATTTATTTTATTTTTGGCTGCATTGGGTCTTTGTTGCTGCATGTGGGCTTTTCTCTGGTTGTGGCGAGTGGGGGCTACTCTTCGTTGTGGTGCACGGGCTTCTCATGGCGGTGGCTTCTCTTGTTGTGGGGCACAGGCCCTACGTGTGTGGGCTTCAGTAATTGTGGTACGCGGGCTCAGTAGTTGTGGCTCGCGGGCTCTAGAGCGCGGGCTCAGTAGTTGTGGTGCGTGGGCTTAGTTGCGCCGCGGCATGTGGGATCTTCCTGGACCAGGGCTCGAACCTGCGTCCCCTGCATTGGCAGGCAGATTCTTAACCACTGCGCCACCAGGGAAGTCCCTATTTATCCATTTTTAAACTCTTAAATGTTATAACAATAATTGAACACAGTTTATGTCAATATCTACGCCATATTCAGTCATGTGGGGCAGTAGGGTAAAGAGTTCACCTACAGGTTGTAAAACATACATACTCATCCTTCCTTCTAGTCCTCATCCAACAAGGTGGCAAATAAAAGGAAACAATTTTGTTGTTTCACAGCCCAGTGTTCCCTAAATCATGTGGTCTTTCATTTTCATCGTATAAATCTGTGATGTTATTTGTTTCCGTGTTTCATTAGACAGAATATACTGAATAGAGATCAGACTTTTCTTAAATTTGGAGTGTATCTGCCCCCTTGATGTTCTGTTATTGCTGAACTTAATATTATTCAGAAAAACAGGTGGGGCTTCCCTGGTGGCGCAGTGGTTGAGAGTCCGCCTGCCGATGCAGGGCACATGGATTTGTGCCCCGGTCCAGGAAGATCCCACGTGCCATGGAGCGGCTGAGCCCGTGAGCCATGGCCACTGAGCCTGCGCGTCCGGAGCCTGTGCCCCAAAAGGGGAGAGGCAAAAAAAGGGAAAGGCCCGCGTACCGAAAAAAAAAAAAAAAAAAAAAAGAAAAAGAAAAACAGGTGACCAAGTTTAACATTATTTGAAATTCAAAGGCTTCAGTGCTGAGGGAAAGAAAGCTCATGGATTTAGTGACAATTCCTTGTTTTTAGTTTCTCAGAGCCTTTAAAAAAAAAAATTATAGATTTGAATAAGTGTGGATGTTATTACATTTATATATTTTACCTTTAACAATATCAGTATATTTTCTGACTAATGGATTAAGTTGTTGTTGTTGGTTTTGGTCTATATCTTTTATTTACTTCAAACTTCAAAAATGCTGCCCTCTGCTCTCTAGTGTTTGAGGTTTGATGAACAAACCTATACTTCAATTATGTTCCCCGTTTCCCCTAAATCTTCATCTCTCTAGAATAAAATAGAGTTCTAATTTTTAGGCTCTTATTAGAAAGCTCTTCCATCTACTCAGTCTCATTTCTCAGGACCTTTTCCAACTCTCGTACATCTTTCTCTTTTTTTTTTTTTTAAGAAGATGTTGGGGGTAGGAGTTTATTAATTAATTAATTTATTTTTGCTGTGTTGGGTCTTTGTTTCTGTGCGAGGGCTTATTCTAGTTGTGCCAAGCAGGGGCCACTCTTCATCACGGTGTAAGGGCCTCTCACTATTACGGCCTCTCTTGTTGCAGAGCACAGGCTCCAGACGCGCAGGCTCAGTAGTTGTGGCTCACGGGCCTAGTTGCTCCGCGGTATGTGTGATCCCCCCAGACCAGGGCTCGAACCCGTGTCCCCTGCATTAGCAGGCAGATTCTCAACCACTGCGCCACCAGGGAAGCCCTGGTACATCTTTCTTAAAGTGTGGGGAGCCAAAACTGCTCAGCACATCTCTCTGTGGACACTGAGTGGTTGTGAATAAGGGCAGGATCACAAGTTTTATTTTGTTTCCAGTGTCCTTTCTGATAATGCCCAGTGTTTTCTGGGCCTTTTGTGATGAAACATGCAACGTGGTGTCTTAAGGGAACAGTCTAAGCTGATGCTTCTTTATTGAACAGTTTAGCTTAGAACCCATTATTCTAACCATAACCATATATATTCTAGTATAATTGGAATTGCTTTTCCCAAAACGTTCCTTCACATTTGCTTTCACTAATGCTACTTTGCCATAATTTCGCCTATTCATACAGCCTCCTTAGAACTTGTCTTTTAATTTCGCATTTTCATTTCTGGAACAGCTTTTAGGCCATTTGCAGTCTTGAAAGTTTCATTTTATTGCTTCAACAAATATTTATTGACTGCCTAATGGAGAATGCAGTGGTGAATGAGACAGATAAGTCTCTTCCCTCATGAATCTTACAACCTAATGTTTTTCTGCTAGATTATTGGTTACCAAAGCATTGAGACCTCCTTTTCAAATTAATTTTTTCATGGACTCTCATTCAGTAATGGTGTTTTTAATGGCTGGTCATTGGGAACATATTTGTGGATATGAAGTTGGGTCCCCAATGGGTTGGGAACTATCATTCTAGGCAATTTATGAAAGCATTGCGCTCCAGTCCAGAACTGGTCAATGGATTAAAAAACACGGTCGTTCATGGTTTCCCATAAATGACAATCACATAAAGACAAACATACATGCAACATGGAATTCAGTGTGTTGTTTTTTTGGTGGAATTTTGGCATTAGAAATTCTGCCTACTAGTTCTGCCATAATCATATTGTTTTTATCTCCTCAAAGAATTCGAATAGGTTAATTAGGCCTGATGAGGCCGTTTTAAAATTAAGGTGTTCTTCCCTCCCTCTCACCTAGTTGATATGTTTACTTAACTGTTTGGCAAAATTTCCTGGGCAGCTAGTAGACCCTGTAATAAATACTGGGTATTTATATTCACTTTAACATTTTTTTTAGTTTCCAGATCTTCCCTGAATAGAAACTTACCCTGAGAGGATACAGCGTCAGTCTGCCAGTTCACCCCCAAGGGGGTTGTATGTATCGTAGCATGGTTCCACCTTCTCACCTTTGAGTGAAATTTGCTCTTGGCCTAGGGCTCAGAGAACCGGGGAGCCTGCCTTGTCTGTTGACTAGGCCATTCTAGATCACTGGGTGAGCTCACCATGCGTGGCTCTAGCTTGTTCAGATGCTTCAGGGTAAACCCTGCTGAGTGCTCTGCAGGGTGAGCCATGGTTCCTAGGCTGGTATTTGTGGGCATGGGGCAGGGGCCATCACCTCTGGGTCCTGAGGACTGCCCCCAGGCAAGGTAGGCAGGCAGCCGTCTGTGGTTTGCTCTTTCCAACTTCGGCTGCTTGCAACAAGTTGCAGACACTGGTGTATGCTGAAGCTTTTTATTTTGACTACACCTTTAATTTTAATTAAGTTACTTCACCGATTTTTCTAGCTGGCAGTCCCTTGCTGAGTCATGCCAGATGTGCTTAAAGAGTTTTATAGTGATGATTTTTAGAGTCCTCTGTAAGAAGCTCCCCCAATTTTTTTTTAATATAAATTTATTTATTTTATTTTATTTATTTATCTTTGGCTGCGTTGGGTCTTCGTTGCTGCATGCGGGCTTTCTCTAGTTGCGTGGGTGGGGGCTACTCTTCATTGCAGTGCATGGGCTTCTCATTGCAGTGGCTTCTCTTGTTGTGGAGCTCAGGCTCTAGGCACGAGGGCTCTAGAGCACAGGCTGGTAGTTGTGGCGCATGGGGCTTAGGTGCTACGCGGCATGTGGGAATCTTCCCGGACCAGGGCTTGAACCCGTGTCCCCTGCATTGGCAGGTGGGTTCTTAACCACTGCACCACCAGGGAAGCCCCAAGTGCCTCAAATTTTTTTGGCCTGCCTAATTTCTTCTTTTCATAGGTTAAAAATATAATTTAATAAAATTACTTAAGCAATAAAATTTGAAATAAATCGTTTGAATAAATAATTTGAAAATGTAGATAAAAAGGAAAGAAAATAATTTCATTATCTGTTGAGATATTTTTGACATTTTAGAGTATTCCTCTAGGCTTTTTCATAAGAACTATGTATAGTAAAAAAATTTTTTTGTTTTAAATAAAGATTGTACTGTGTGTACACTTCAGTATCTTTTTTCTTCATTTTAGGAGCATTTCTCATAGTCTTAAATATTGATCTATAATGATGCCTAGTATTTAATTGTGTAAATAGACCATAATTTATTGAACCAACTTCCTATTGTTGGGACTTTAGGTTGTGTCTCATTTTTTGTTATAAAATAATTTTGTTATAAATAATTCTGTAATGATTATTTTTGTCACATGCATCTCTATTTCCTTAGGATAAATATCTGGAAGTGGAATTATTGAGCCTTATGTATGTATTGCTAAATTGCTCTTTAGACAGGTTGTATCAATTTCTACTACTTTCAAAATGCTTATTTTGCTACATCTCTGCCAACACTGGGGATTATTAGTTTTTGAAAACTTTGGTCAATTTAATAAGCCAAAAATGTTTCTCATTATTTCAATTTGTGTTTCTCTAATTTTTTGTGAGGTTGCAACTTTTGTTATGTATGAATTGTCCCTTTGTGGTTGTTCTTTTTTTAAGTGCCTGCTCATCACTTTTGCTTAGTTTTCTAATATGTTGATTATCTTTTACTAACTACTTTTTAAGGGCCTTTTACATATTAATAAAGATATTAATGATAGTAATTATTATATGTTGCAAATCTTCCTTTTGGTTGTTTGCTTTTTAACTATGTGTTGGCAGGTTTTTGATGAATAGAACTTTTTATTGGTAGTCTTTTTCTTTGCAGTTTCTCCTTTGCTTTTTTTTCTACTTTGTTTTTTTTTTGGCTGCGTTGGGTTTTCTTTGCTGCGTGCTGGCTTTCTCTAGTTGCGGTGAGCAGGGGCTACTCTTTGGTGCGTGGGCTTCTTATTGCGGTGGCTTCTATTATTGTTGAGCATGGGCTCTAGGTGCACGGGCTTCAGTAGTTGTGGCGCACGGGCTTAGTTGTGCCGCGGCATGTGGGATTTTCCCGGACCAGGGATCGAACCTGTGTCCCCTGCATTGGCAGGCGGATTCCTTTTTTTTTTTTTTTTAACCTCTTTATTGGAGTATAATTACTTGACATTGTTGTGTTAGTTTCTGCTGTATAACAAAGTGAATCAGCTATACATATACATATATCCCCGTATCCCCTCCCTCTTGCATCTCCCTCCCACCCTCCCTATCCCACCCCTCTAGGTGGTCACAAAGCACCGAGCTGGTCTCACTGTGCTATGTGGTTGCTTCCCGCTAGCTATCTATTTAACATTTGGTAGTGTATATATGTCAATGCCACTCTCTCACTTCGTTGGCAGGCAGATTCTTAATCACTGCACCATCAAGGAAGTCCCTCTCCTTTGCTTTTATAACAGGGTACATTTTGATTAATTTCTACTTTCTACTTATAAACAATGCGATATTTACTTTAGAGCAGAGTTTAAAGAAATACAGACACTTGGGCACACTGTGAGTCTTTTTTTAAAAAATATTTATTTATTTATTTATTTGGCTGCACCAGGTCTTAGTTGCAGCGTGCAGGATCTAGTTCCCTGATCAGGGATCGAACCCGGGCCCCCTGCATTGGGAGCACGGCGTCTTAACCACTGGACCACCAGGAAAGTCCCCCACTGTAAGTCTTTTAACAGTTATCGATTGCTGCTGATTTTGGTTGTCCTTACTAGGGCTAAATAGAAAACAGGATTTGATCTTTGGCTTTTAAAAAGTATCAGCCTTGGTATTTAAAATTCAAAGGTTGTAAAAGTTTTTCCTGCTGCTGATGTTGAGCTGCCACACCATTTATTAGCTCTGATTTTCCTAGCAAAAGATACCTTTTGCTCTGACCTCTGACCATTCTTGGCCAATCCCTGAGATTTCTCTGTGTGAAGAACGTCATTACTTTCATGTTGTATCTCTCTGCTTCAAGCCTCTGTGACTTGGAGTTAAACAGTAGTAGGCTTCTCGATAATCCTTGCACACACTGCCAACTACTACCCCTCCTCCCCCACAGGCTTTTCCCAGCACCTTAAGAAGACTAATCTATTCCACCCTTCTCCCTCAATCTTTTTTTCCTAGACTGAAGGGGGGTGGGGGGGAGTTGGAGATAAGCTTATAAAGCAAATACCACATAGGTGTTTCCTTATAGTTGGGATCAGCCTGCAAAGTAGTTCACTTGGTATTGGGATGCTGATTGCTTCCAATGATATCCAGTATATTCCCCTCGCTTATGGGCTCCAACAGTTTTATTCCACCAAACAATCATTTGTTGTCCAGAAACTTTACATCTCATTTCAGCGAGATACTCTGCCCACTCATATTTAGTTAACTGGTATTTCACTTTATTAGTATCTACCATAATTAGATATCTTCCCAATGGGACGGTCTGTTTCATTTTCCGTGAGAACTCTTAAGAAGGCAGATGTGTTTTGTTGGGGCTTGGTGGGGTGGGACAAGAAACCAAACCTGCAAGCCTGTTGATCCCATGGGATGGCAATAGATATATCTCTGCCAGCTGTTCCCCTGTGGTTCTAATTTTTGTTCTTTTCTTTATTTTCCCTTTTTAAAATTATAAAGGCAGTCTACCAGCACACACACACAAAAGTTGTGAAAAATTAATACACCAGTGATCCCCCCACCCTGCATAAATTACTTTTCTCTTTTAATCTTGGCTCAAATGGATACTTAGTTTTACATTGTCGTAGTTTGACAACATTTTTGTATGTGTTTTTTATTTTAATCTTAACACTGTAAGTAATTTTTCATGTTGCTACATAGATTTCATAATTGGGATTTTTAATAACTACATAATAGTCTATCAGTTACTTAACCATTCCCTGTCCTTGGACATTTAGATTCTTTGTGTGTATGTGGGTGTCTCCTTTTTGTGTTGTTTTAATAATGCTGTATACTTTTGCATATAGCTTTTGGGAATTTTTGTTCTTAGGATAAATTTCTGGCAGTGGGGTTCCTGGACCCAAGGATTTGCCCCTGACCTGGTTCTGTGCAGCTACTGTACTGCTTTCTAAAAGAGTTGTGTCAATCTGCATCCACAAAGGCTTTCAGTACAAACATGGTGTAGGAAATACTGAAGCAAATAAGGCTCTGGGATGCTGAAGCAGATGCAGGATTTATGGGCTGAACAAGGGAGATAGTGGGTTTTTTCTTCCTCTTTCCAGCAGGTTTGAGCCAGGCAGCTTCATGTCTTATCTAAGTGTGAGTATTTTAGTAACTTCCTAAGGGAAGGCCTCTTTCGTAGGGCCTTGGGTTTCCTCCTTTGCAGTAGTTTTTGTAGCTCTGCTTCTACAGATCATGAAGGAAACAGGTGGATTTTCTTTCCTTTGTGTATTAAGTTAAAATAAAATTTAGGGCTTCTCTAAAACTATTCTCTGGCCAGTTTGATAACTGTGTGTTTCTTTGAGAGTCACCCTGTCCCTCAGGTTTAGTGATCCATTCACCAACCAATAACAGATTTGGGGTGAAAATTAAGGAATCAAGCAGACACTGACTAGAGAAAAAAATACCTAGGGGATGACATAATCTGTTAGAGTTTGTTTAATCCTGGCAGTGGTAAATCATTTTGGATTTGCTTGGATTCATGCAGCAAAAAACCAAGTTATACAAAGTTAATGATTAATTACTAAGTAAATTAGCAGAAGTTATAGCCAAGTCTCATATGAATCAGAAGTTTTCTAAAGAACGGAGGTGCTGAGCCATGCTTTTTTTTTTTAAAAGGGCTGAGTGATTGGTTTTTTGCTAATGCTTATGATCATCGAGTGATGATATTCTCTGAGAAATTGAGAGAGTGTGGTGTGAGTGTACCCTCTTTTTGGCTCTGGAGTGTGGTGTGAGTGTACCCTCTTTTTGGCTCTGCAACCAACCAGGAATTTCAAGGTATTAATGTGTAGAGCCTGCCAGGCAGACTTGTCACTACATACTAACTTTTCTTTCCACTCCTCCCCCAATGTCCCCAGCATTTTGGAAACCTGTTGGGGTAAAACTCAGGTGTGTGACTTCCCATAGCGTGGGGATTTGTGCATGTGCGTGCTGGCTGCATGTGTGTTAGCGAGATGGGTTTGTGATGAAGATGATGCTGGACAGAGCCCAGTGGGATCCTGGTGATCACTGATTCTGTTCTCTGTTTCTGTTACAGCCCTTGCCAGCATCCAGCCATGGGGGATATGAAAACTCCAGATTTTGATGACCTTCTGGCTGCCTTTGACATCCCAGACCCCACCAGCCTTGATGCCAAGGAGGCCATCCAGACCCCCAGTGAGGAGAATGAGAGTCCCCTCAAACCTCCAGGCATGTGTATGGATGAGAATGTGTCCTTGTCTCACTCAGGATCAGCCTCAGATGTGCCAGCCGTGAGTGTCATCGTCAAGAACACCAGCCGCCAGGAGTCATTTGAAGCGGAGAAAGACCACGTCGCTCCCAGCCTCCTACACAATGGATTCCGGGGCTCGGACCTGCCTCCGGATCCCCACAACCTAGGCCACAACTGTGGGAAGTTTGATTCCACTTTCATGAATGGAGATAGTACCAGGAGTTTCCCCGGCAAGCTGGAACCTTCCAAGTCAGAGCCCTTACCAACCTTTAACCAGTTCAGTCCAATCTCCAGCCCCGAACCCGAGGATGCCATCAAAGATAATGGGTTTGGGATAAAGCCCAAGCACGCTGACAGTTACTTCCCACCCCCTCCTGGGTGTGAGTCTGTGGGGGGCCCGGTCCTGGAGGCTCTGACTAAGTTTCCAGTCCCAGAGCTGCATATGTTTGATCACTTTTGTAAGAAAGAGCCCAAGCCAGAACCCCTGCCCCTGGGGAGTCAGCAGGAGCACGAGCAAGGTGGGCAGAAGGCAGTGGAACCTCACAAGGAGCTGGATACCAGTCGATTCTTTGGGGAAGCTTTGGAGTTCAACAGCCACCCCGGCCACAGTATCGGAGAGCCTAAGGGGCTTGCCTCGGAGCTAGGTACCTGCTCGTCAGTGCCCCCTAGGCAGCGTCTTAAGCCAGCTCATTCCAAGCTGTCCTCTTGTGTTGCAGCCTTGGTGGCCCTGCAGGCTAAACGAGTGGCCAGTGTCACCAAGGAGGATCAGCCTACCCACACAAAGGATCCCTCAGGGCCCACAAAAGAGGGCTCCAAAGGCAGCCCCAAAATGCCCAAGTCACCAAAGAGTCCCCGGAGCCCTCTGGAGGCCACTAGAAAAAGTATCAAGCCATCAGACAGCCCTCGGAGCATCTGCAGTGACAGCAGCAGCAAAGGCTCCCCTTCTGTGGCTGCCAGCTCCCCACCAGCAATTCCCAAAGTCAGAATCAAAACCATTAAGACATCATCAGGGGAAATCAAACGGACTGTCACAAGGATCCTACCAGACCCTGACGATCCCAGTAAGTCCCCTGCTGGGTCACCTCTAGGAAGCGCCATTGCTGAGGCCCCGAGCGAGGTGCAGGAGGATGAGGTCACTGCCCTGTCTGGGGCAGAGCACTTTCTTGAGGTGGGCACAAATTCAGGGAGCCCTCAGGGTGACAGGAAGGGGGATGAGAACATGACAAAAGCCAGTGAATCTTCAACTTCTTGCTGCAGCTCTGGGTCCCGGGGCCCAAAGGGGGCTGCCTCGGGCTCACAGATGGGCAAGAAGCAGCAGCAGAGCACAGCACTGCAGGCATCCACCCTGGCCCCTGCCAACCTCCTGCCCAAAGCCGTGCACCTGGCCAACCTGAATCTGGTCCCCCACAGTGTGGCCGCGTCCGTGACGGCCAAGTCCTCAGCACAGAGGCGGAGCCAGCCACAGCTCACGCAGATGTCGGTGCCCCTGGTCCACCAGGTGAAAAAGGCCGCCCCACTGGTTGTGGAGGTCTTCAACAAGGTCCTCCACAGCTCCAACCCCGTGCCCCTCTACGCTCCAAATCTCAGCCCGCCTGCGGACAGCAGGATCCACGTGCCGGCCAGTGGGTACTGCTGCCTGGAGTGTGGGGATGCGTTTGCCTTAGAGAAGAGCCTGAGCCAGCACTACGGCCGGCGGAGCGTCCACATCGAGGTGCTGTGCACACTGTGCTCCCAGACGCTGCTCTTCTTCAACAAGTGCAGCCTGCTCCGGCATGCCCGTGACCACAAGAGCAAGGGTCTCGTCATGCAGTGCTCTCAGCTGCTTGTGAAGCCCATCTCTGCGGACCAAATGTTCGTGTCGGCCCCCGCGAACTCCACGGCACCAGCAACCCCGGCTCCCCCCTCCTCCCCCAAACACGGCCTCACTTCAAGCAGTGCCAGCCCCCCACTCCCAGCTTTGCCGCTCTACCCAGACCCTGTGAGGCTCATCCGGCACAGTATCAAGTGTCTCGAATGTCACAAGCAGATGCGAGACTACATGGCTATGGCTGCACATTTCCAGAGGATGACGGAGGAAACCGAGGGGCTGGTAAGCAGACCCTCTCTGTGATAGTTGTCAGGCCCCTGGTTCGCACGGTTCCATGACTGGGCATGGAGAGAGAAGCTCATTGATGTGGGGCAGTGTGGCATCTTAAGAGTCCTAGAAGAGGAATCTGGCTTGCTGGTTAGCGACCCACCTGGATATTTAGTGCTTGGTGTTTATTGGGAAAAGCATCCTGCCCACAACTGAGGGGAGACCCTGAAGATTTAACGAGTGTATTTACGGACACTCCGCTCCCACTCCAGTGGGCTCTCAGGGTCCATTGTTGGGCCGGGGCTAGGGCTCTGCTGGATGGTCCCCTGGTCTCTGGCAGCTGTCAGCACAGTCCTTGCACGTGCCCAAAGAACTTGGGGGCAGAGGTAGGTGCATCACTGCCCTGCGCCTCAGTCTGTACTTCTAAGAACCTTGTCTTTACCAAGTTGTTGTGCCCCACGGTGGACATAGCTGTTTTTGCAGAATCCCTTTGGGGAAGCTGTCATAGGGCCAGTAGCAGGGTTGATGTGGAAGGAGAGTAGACTGACATGTGGGCCCTGAGTCAAAGGCTTTGGGGCCTCTTCCCTTCATCTCTGTTCTCACTACTAAGAAAGCAGCTGCCCTTATCTCTTGTTCCGATTCTTGGTTATGCTTGATGAGAACTTGATGAGTGTGTGAGTGTGTGTGTGTGTGTGTGTGTGTGTGTGTGTGTGTGTGTGAGACTTAAGGCATTCCATGCTGAAAACACCCTTTGGCACCTTGTGTGTAGGTTGTTGTCTGTATTAGCAAGGTACTCTGAAGAAGCAGGCCTCCAGAAGGCTCTTCTCTTCCCTCTTCAGGTGGCTCCCTTAACAACTTAGCCAAGCCCAGCCCCTCACCAAGCCTCCCTAAGCCAGGGCCACAGAGGCCTGGAAGGAAAGCAGACCAGCTCTTTTTACTTCAGTTCACAGTGACCCACGCACCTGTTGGTGTCTTGATGAGCTCTGCCCTTGTTTATTGAGTGTTCCCCGTGTGCACAGAGGCTCTGTGTCAAGAGCAGGGTTGCCCGTAGGAGGAAGTCACACCATTCTTCCAGGAGCTCACGATGGCTCAGCAAGGGCAGGGCTCCCCACCCGAACTGCTAGAGTGTGCGGCAGGCTAAGGGCTGAAAACAGGCTTGTAACATAGTTGCATAGAGTTCCTCAGAGGGACTAATTCCTCGTGGTTCCAGGCATAGGGAGGGTGCCACGTGGACATGACATTTGAGCTGGACCTGCAGGGATGAGTTTGGAGGAGGGGGAGGGGCAAGGGGTGTTCCAGGTATAGGGCAAAGGTATGGGAAAGTGCAAAGTGGTTTGAGGAACAGGGAGTTGTTGGGAGGGAGACCAGCCTTGGGAGTGTTGGGCTAGAGACAGGAGGTAGAATTCAGTAGGCAGCCCCTGAAAGGGGCCAGCAAGCTGCTGTAAGTCCCTGTTGCCTCTCATCTTCACCTTCTCTGTTTCAGTTTGCATTTTCTTTCTAATGAGTCAGGTGGAGTGTGGGTCCCCCAGGCCCTTTCCTCTGGGGCTTCAGGTATTCCTGCTGTACCAGCATGATTAACTTGGACAGGATCACTTCTTCTGGGTCATCTGATCAGAACCTTTGCCAGTGAAGGTCTGATACCTGTGCCTGTGGTTTTTCCCCCACACTTTTCTTCACTCGCCTTTTAAAATCTGAGCAGGCTAAGGTCTGGGTGTAGAATCCCAGGCTGGCACCCTTCTCATCCTGCATCTTCTCTGTGTCATTCTCCTTCAGTGGGAGCTGGACAAGAGGGCCCCCCCAGAGGGAAAGGGAGGGGCTGCTGTGAGGCTTCTCTCAGTCCAGCTCTGTTCTCTCACAAAATCTCCTGCCAATAAATGTGGCCTCAGAGTCTCAGGGAAAGGGGAAGGCTTGAGTTCTGGGATCAAAATCTAACCTTGATGGCCGTTGGCTTTGGGTTTCCCAAGATGGTACCCAAGCTTTAGGCCATATGAGGGGCAGGCAGTGGACCAGTGGGTGGGGTTGGGCTCCACTCTGCTGGAGGGACTGTAGGACAGCATGTTTGGGCCTTTGACTTCTTCCTGGGAGTCTGAACCACTTATGCCTCCCTCTGCAGTGGCTGGAGGGGGTCCTTCCCCTTACATTCCAAGCCACCTTGTTGGGCAGATGTCAGCACAAAGAGATTACTTCTTCTTGTTCTTAAGCTTTTGTTTAACTATGTCATTATCACACCTAACAAAATTAATAACAGTTCTTTAACATTGTCTAATACAATTCATATTCAAATTTTCCATTCATGTCAAAATTGTATTTTTACAGTTGAGCTTGTTTTGAATCAGAATCCAGATGTGGACCAAGTGTTGTGTTTGTTTGTTATATCTTTGAAATTTCTCAATCTAGAGCAGTACCTTTTCCTACTCCACCCAACAAGGGCCCCCCGCCCCCCCTTATTTTTCACATCATTGTTTTGTTGAAGAAACTGGTTCGTGTGTCCTGAGAACTTTCCAGGACAATTCTGGGTTTCACTGATTGCTTCCTGAGAATTTTTCAGGATAATTTTGAGTTTGATTGCTTCCTCATACAGTTAATTTGTTCTATACCCCATATTTTGTCTGTAGACTAGAAGTTAGCAATGAAGACTTGATTAGATTCATCTTGAGGAATGGGAAATCTGTGTTCTTCATAATTCATTACTTCAGGGAGGCACAATGTGCTTGATTGTCTCCGTTTTAATGATGCTAAACTTGATCAGTGAGTTTAGGTTGGTGATGTTCAGATCCCTTCCTTATAAAGTTTCCTATCTTTTTACCTAATGATTTTAGCAGCCGTTAATAATTGCTGCTTGAGACAGTAATTTTATTAGGAGTTGCAGGAGGTTGTTTTAAATTTTATTATTTCTTTCTCATTTATTAGCTGGAATTCTGTATAAAATCTTTTCCTCTTCCTTGAGGGCTATTAGGTTACGCTGAAATACAGTTTATGTTGGAAAAGTGGATAAATTTGTTTCCCTCAGTTAACAGTTTTCACAGTAGTGAATTGATGCCCCAACAATCTTAAATGGTGTTTTGAGAGTCCCTCCTCTATTATTTTTAAAAATTGTGGTAAAATACACGTAACATAAAGTTTACCATCTTAACCATTTTTTAAGTGTACAGTTTAGTAGCATTAAGTACATTCACATTGTTGTGAAGTCAGTTTCCAGAACTCTTTTCATCTTGCAGAGCTGAAACTCTAAACCTATTAAATAACAACTCCCTATTCTCCCCTCCCCTTCCCCCTGGCAACCACCATTTTACTTTCTGTTTCTATGAATTTGACTATTCTAGGTAGCTCACATAAATGGAATCATACAGTGTTTGTCTCTTTTTGACTGGCTCATTTCACTTAGTATAATATCTTCAAGGTTCATACATATTTTAGCATTTGACAGAATTTCCTTTCTTTTTAAGGCTGAATAATATTCTGTTGTTGTATATACCACATTTTGTTTATCCATTCATTCACTGATGGACACTTGAGTTGCCTCCAGTTGTATTATGAATAATGCTGCTATCAACATGGTGTACAGATACCTTTTCAGGACCTTACTTTCAATTCTTTTTTTGTGTGATCAAGTATTTTATTTTATTTTATTATAGTTGCTGTACAATATTATGTTAGTTAGAGGTGTACAATACAGTGATTCACAATTTTTAAAGGTTATACTCCAAAATTTATAGTTATCATAAATTACTGGCTATATTCCTTGTGTTGTACAATATCAGTTCTTTTGGGTATGTATCCAGAAGTGGAATTGCTGGATCATATGGTAATTCTATTTTTAATTTTTCGGGGAGCCCCCATACTGTTTTCTACAGTGGCTGTACTATTTTACATTCCCACCAGTAGTGCACATGGGTTCCAATTTCTCCACATCCTCACCAGCATTTGTTATTTTCTGTTTTTTTCATAGTAGCCACCCTAATCGGTATGAGGTCACTTCCTCTATTATTTTTAGTGGTAGTGTTATAATGAACTTATTGGTTTCTATATATTCAGTATGTTTATATGTTCAGTCATTCTTTTTTTTTCTTTTCCATTATGGTTTTATTACAGGATATTGAATATAGTTCCATGTGCTACACAGTAGGACCTTGTTGTTTATCCATTTTATATGTGATAGTTTGCATCTGCTAATCCCAAACTCTCAATCCATCCCTCCTTAATCCCCTCAGCCCCTTGGCAACCACAAGTCTGTTCTCTATGTCTGTGAGTCTGTTTCTGTTTCCTAATAAGTTCATTTGTGTCTTGTTTTGGATTCCACATATAAGTGATATCATATGGTAGTTGTCTTTCTGACTTAATTCACTTAGTATGATAATCTCCAGACCCATCCATGTTGCTGCAAATGGCATTATTTCATTCTTTTTTGTGGTTGAGTAGTATTCCATTGTGTGTGTGTGTGTGTGTGTGTGTGTGTGTGTGTGTGTGTACACGTGTGTGCATACATACATACCACATCTTCTTTATCCATTCATCTGTCCAGAGACATTTAGGTTGCTTCCATGTCTTGGCCATTGTAAACAGTGCTGCTCTGAACATAGGGGTGCATGTATCTTTTCGAATTATAGTTTAGTCTGGGTATATGCCCAGGAGTGCGAATTGCTGGATGATATGGCAACTCTATTTTTAGTTTTTTGAAGAACCTCCATACTGTTTTTCATAGTGGCTGCACCAATTTACATTTCCACCAACAGTATAGGAGGGTTCCCTTTTCTTCACACCCTCTCTACCATTTGCTATTTGTAGACTTTTTAATGATGACCATTCTGACTTGTGTGAGGTGGTACCTCTTTGTAGTTTTGATTTGCATTTTTCCAGTAATTAGCAATGTTGAGCATCTTTTCATGTGCCTACTGGTCGTCTGTATGTCTTCTTTGGAGAAATGTCTGTTTAGGTCTTCTACCCATTTTTTGATTGGGTTGTTTGTTTTTTTGTTATTGAGTTGTATGAGCTATTTGTATATTTTGGAAACTGAG